CCCCCCCTCCGCCCCCCCGAGCCGCCGCCGCACCGCCGCAGAAGGATCGGGAAATGAACTCACCGAGCTCTGATCGCTGACAAGAGGAGCCCTGGATGCAGACTCTCTCCTTCTCTGAGGCTGTAAAGTTGTGGTCTCGGCCCCGCTGGCTCACAGCTCCTCACGCTTCGCTCCGGGGACTGGGCAGGTAGCGGGGGTGTGAGGAGGAGGGAGCGGGCAGCTGCTGTCCTCCCACTTGGGCGCCAGTGAGTGGGGGCCAGGAGGCGGCGGGGATGGCAGCTGGGCACCCCCCAGCCCCTCCACCCCTCCCTCCCGTCCTGGGGGCGGCGCTCTGGCCACCCCTCTTTAGCATCCTGGACTGGCACCCCTTGTGTTTCCCCCTGAGCGTGCTGCCCTGATAGACTTCAGCCGCCGTTCCTAACAGGCGATCTAGACTCAGTTCTGGTGTGGATGCTTAGCCTCATCGGCTTCTCTCCCCGCAGGGGCTGACAACCCTCCCTGCTATCAGCTAGCACCAACGGAAGCCTGGGGGTTTGAAAGCTTAGCCAGGGGCAACACCCATAAAGATCTGTTATTGTGCACAGAGGGGGGTGGGTGGAAAGCGCCACCCCTCCCACTCTGGAGCCGGTCTGCCGGCTCTGAATATCCACCATTCACTACAGGGTGATCTTAGACTCTAATTTCCTCCTCTGTTAAACAGATGTGAGGATTATAGAGCAATATGTATGTAAAGCCTTTAAGCAGGGCTAGCCATGGTAAGCACAACTGGAGTATTAGTTCACAATTATTAACAGTATTAATTTTGTTAGTAGCAGGCAGGCATTGAGCTACATCTTTAGCATAAGACAGCTTTGTTAATCAGTTCAGCAGAAACTCCATGACCCCCAGTTTAGATGAGCAAGTTAAGGTTCTGAGAAACAAAGTCCCATGCACAAGGTTATAAAATGGGTAAGTGACAGAGCCTGAATGTGGACAAATGTACCTACTCTCAGCCTGTACACATCCCAGCATCACCTCAAGACCCAGGGAACTCTGATTTGGAAGAAGGGAGACAACAGAGGGATTACCCAAACAGCTTGAACAAGGACCTTCCCCCTGAAGGTTCCCGGCTCTCATCTCTCTGAGCTCTTTCCTTCCCCGACACACTTTGCTATCGTGGGGAGGGTAATGAGAGGCACCAATAGGGTGGGCACTCCTGGTCAGTGTGTGGGGGTGGCAGAGAGAGCCTTAGCAGCACCGCAGGAATATTGGTTGCCAACACGTCTCTGTGTCCTGGGCTGTTAGCTCACTCACCTGCTCTGTCCCACTCCCTGGGTGACAGCAAAGGCAATAAATAAATCAGTGTTTATTGCTTTCTCAACTGGTTGATTAAAACAAGTGCAATCCCTTAAAATGAGAACTCTCTGCTTATCTGCTCAATCCTTATTTCTGAATCACCTGATACTGATTTTTTTCCCTCCTGTATTTTATCACTATAGACCAAAATAAAAAGGGGCCAGGAAACCCTCTCATGGTCTGTAAGGGTGATACATATGTGCCAAAGAATGGCACACGAGGTGTTGGTCTCTGAGACTCTGGTAGCCCTGTGATTTCCCGTGACTGCAGGGAAGACGTGAGGAAGCACAAATGGCCCCTTCCTCTGTAGGTCCCCTGTGAATCAGGTCACGGCTGTCTAGCCCTTTCACTAGCTCTGCCGGCTTCTCACGCTGACTTGGGAGGGAGGGAGTCTGGGGGCCTTGGTTTGAGCTGTATTGATTGCAGAACTCCATTCCCTAAATACCTTGACAGCCGGGTGGTATTTCTAATTTTATTTTGCATATGGGTGTGTGGTGGGAAGGTGTGTGTCTGAATTTGTGTGTGTGAGGAGAGGGAAAGAGAGGGGGGTGAAACTAAAGAAACGTGGGAAGACATCAGTGGGGGGAGGGGGTACTCAGCCAAGAAAGAGACAGAGACCTATCTGGCCATTGAAACACAAATGGACAAGAACAATTATTTATTTAGATATTTAGTTTATCAACAGAAAAAGACTTTAAAACTTCAGGCCTAGAGCTAGTGTTTCCTCGTTCCCCTCCACTAAGTGAACTGAAAGGAAGTACAGACAAATGTGATTTTGCTCTTCTAAAATTGGTGCCTTATCCTGGACAGAATCAATAGGGAGGTCAATTTGAAAACTTCACTTTGATTCTGGCCCATTTTAAGCTAAAAATGGATATGTTCTTCCCAGCTGTGGCTTCTTGAGTCAGTCATTTAACTTTACTGCTGTCAATATCCTTGTCCACATAGTGGGAAGATATTAGCTGGGGTGGGGGTGGGGTGATGATCAGCTAGTGAACTTGAGCCCATCCAGCCTCTCAGGCCCAGCAGGAAATTTCATCACTCCAGTTTCTTAATTTCAGGCTTTTGTGTGAGCTGAGCCCTTATCTTTCTCCAAGTAAAAACGAGTGCTCCTGGCCTACGTTTGGAAATATTTTGGGGTCTCCTTTGTATCGCTCTTTTTTTTTTTTTTTTTTTTTGCATAGAAGAACTGAGGTATAGGCCAGAGGTGCAGGAGTGAGAGGATCATCAGAGACAGAGTGAGGAGCGGAGCAGAACAGGCAGATGTACTGAAACCCACTGCTGAGGGATTTCACAGCAGGAGAGACAGGAGAGGAGAGAGACAGGAGAAGTCTGCTGCACCAAGTTGGTCAGCTCCCTGCTGGGGGATTGAACTCAGGCAGTCCAGTCTAGATGATGACTTATGAAGCCCTTCCTTCATATCTCCTAACAGGATAATTTGCCTAGAAGAGACACTGAGTAAAAGCATACTGACTGATGAGTTGCTGATGCTGGCCTCTTGAGAGAAGCTAGGTCATAACTCTACGAAATGTCTTGGAAGTCTCCAGCAGTCCCATTCTAGGCATCTAGCACAAGAATACAAAACCATCAATTTGAAGAACAATGTGCTCCACCATAGTCATGTGACATTATTTGCAATGCCTAAGAAGTGGAATTCGCCTAAATGCTCATGACAAATAAGCACTAGACAAAGAAGGTGTGGTCCTTTTGGGGTCTCCTTTGTATCTCTTGTGGTCTACACACACAAGGAAGGCTGCTCAGCTATCTGAAAAGATACAGTTTTGCCTTTTGCAGCAAAATGAAGGGAAATTGAGTGGATTATGGGAAGAGAAGCAAGTTAGAACGATAAAGACTAACACTGGAAGATTTTTCATATGGGGGAATGTAGGGAAACAAAGTGGACGAACTGAAAAAGCAAAACAGAAATAAACTAGTGGACACTGATACTGAACTGAGGCTGGCAGAGGGACGGGGGGTCTTGCAACCTGCTGCCACCATCCTAGCTACTGTCTCAGCCTCCACAAACAGCACCAGAAAACAACTAGAAACTATGTTCTTTGCTCTTGTCACATATTGTTTAACTATGACTGGACCTGCAAGAGTAGGTGTGGGAAGGAGGAAAGGCAGGTGTTCTCTGGGAGCACTTTCCCAGGGATCTGTGCCCAGAAGCTGGAGACCTCAGGAGGTGCTGAGTAACATGAATTCCCTCCCAAATGGCAGACATTTTGCCTGAAAATGTGCACAAGGAGAGAGGTGCTATGTAGCAAGCAGCATCAGCTTCCCCTTGGGTGGGGCACACTGCCCCCCACCACCCCCCCATACACATATCTGTCTAACCCTCCAAATCCCCAGGTGATCGGGGTAAAGAACATTCCAAGGTGCAAGGGTCCACATCTAAGCAGGTTGTGGAGCTTTTCCCTTTCGTTTTCATGCTCTTGTTTCAGACTGAGGGTGAAGATAGATTGGGCTCTCTGGGTTAGCTGGCAACCTGAAATTGAGATTTTAATAGATATCTGCAAAGAGGATGCTCTTTATTGCTGGTAACAAGTCATAGCCAGGGGCAACCAAAAACCCTCCCTGAACTCCAGCAGGCTTATTATGACGCCATCCATGACTGCCTGCCTGCATTTGGAAAACATGGGAGCACAGTCTTCATCACAGTCAACCAGACACATGAAAATTGGATTATCAGAGGATTTCTATTTGGAGATGGTAATTTACTTGGCTGTCTCCATCTTTATAACAACAACAATAACATGACTTTGATGTCAGAAAGTGTTTTGCAGATTATAAAGTGCTTCTACAAAATTAAAATTTCATTCCACTGGTCTCTCAACAGCTCTGTAAGCTTGCTGGAGCAAAAATGATTAAACCCATTTTTCTTATGAGGAAACTGAGATTCAGAGATATGCTACAGGTTAATTTGCAAGTCTTGCCTATGTTTGAGTTAAGCTATTACTTACTATGCAACAACTTCATCGATACTTAACTACTCTGGTGCATGAAAAAGCTATGTAACATTCTCCCTCAGAATAAAATACCTGCACAGTCTCTCTGTGTGCAGGGTATTTATGTCAAGTTGCATGAGTAAAGCTAGCCAGCAGGCGACACATGAGATGCTCTCAGGCACTCTTCTGTGTGTGGTGCTGGGGAGTGTGTGTGTGTGATGGTGTGAGATGCTCATCCCCCAAGTCCGCATGTCAAGGTACAAAACAGCAGGCAAGGTAGAAACGGCAGGTCTAAGTGTGGCCCTCTGGGTGACAGGTTCTCTAGTGGCCTCCCTGGTAATGGATGCATCAGGGTAGAAATCTTGGCTCGGTCTGGCAGTTTTCAGGCTGTGCAAGAATGAATGTGATCTTTTGCCTATTGCTCATGGTTTCTGGGATCACTGATGTGGCCCTGCTAGGGGATGCCTGTGTCCTGTGGACTGGTGTGCAGCTAGCCGAGATGATGGCAGCAAGATTAATTGGTCTATTGTTTTAAAGCATGCAGAAGACAGAGGGAGGGAAATGAACAGGAGATAGAGGACAGAGGGGAGAAGAGGGAAAAGGAGGGAGGAAAGGAAAGCAAATCAGGGTGGGCGCTAGCTCACACCCAGCTGTCTGACACACCTCGGCTATGTCTTCATGAAGGAGGGAGCTCAGGAGGTGCTGGGGGAGATCAGCTGCCTCTGAGGGGAGCCCTGCAATGCCAGGTGTCCGGGTGGGAGGGAATGAGGCGGAAGGTTGATATCTCTATTAGAGAAGGGAGGGAGTGAGGCCAGGACGGCAAGGTCACTGCAGTGTCGTTGGCTGTTTGTAGGACTAAGAAGTCTGAATACTTGTTATCATCACAGAGCAGCAGGCAGATCAGACTTCATGCCTGCACGCCTTGCTCTCATCTGCCCTGCTGTTCCGGCAGTGATGGCATCGGGCCCAGAGGAGAGGCAGCACAGGTGATGAAAACAGTACAAGCTTTGGCTGTCAGCTCTGGGGTCCGCTAACCTGGGCTTGAATCCCTGTTTCTCCTCCACTCACCTTGTGACCTTGCACAAGTTTCTTAGCCTCTCTGAGTCTCAAATTCCCTCTCCATTAAATGGGGATTTTAGCTAACTTGTTTGTCGCAAATGTAATGTCAAAGATGTCCCCTCATAGCACCTATCTGTTCTACTGAAATAGTCCCAAGCCCTCCTACTTGTCCCACAGCACTTACTGCCTCGGGGATGATTTTGTTTGCATGTATGGTTATTTGCTTGTTTATTTGCTTTTCTCTTTCTATCTGATCGACTGTAAGGCACCAACACCTGCGACTTGCCCCATCAGCTTTGTTTCTGTAGCTGCCAAAGAGCCTGGCATACACAGAGTGCTCAATAAATATTAAAATCAGCAAGAAACAGTGTGGGGAGATGAAGGGACAGGAGGAAACTACCTCGGGTGTGGAAATCTGGAATTTGACCATGATGGTACTTGCATGATTATATGTTTGACAAAATTTATAGAACTGGATTTCTCAAAAGGGTGGTCATTGCAGTATATGTCATATCTCAATAGCTGACCTTTAAAAAATGCACTAGAGGGAGCAACAGATGAAGGGATTTCAACTTAAGATTCTGACATTCATTATATGCCAGGTTGATGGGAGACCAGGTGTCTCGGCAGTGGTTATTTTGTCAATCCTTCTGCCTCATGAAGTCTGACTCTACCTATTTCAGAGGGGGGAAATGGAGGCACAGAGTGATTATAAGATTTGCTAAGGCTACACGACTGCCCGTCGCAACTGGGATGATCATGTCTCTCATGCATCGACCCTCACACTGACTTGGAATAAAGACCCTGTTTTTCTTATGGAAAGGTAACATGGCTGAATGCTGAGCTCTTAAACTTAGCATGAAGTAGCTTGTTTGTTTTGACTTTTATCTGCAAATCAAGATGTAGAGAGAATGGACTTTTTGCTGGGACAGGGAGTGGAATGGGAAGGGGAGTAGAGTTAAGATAAGAAGGACTTCAGGAGAAGATGGAAGGATCTGGGGGACCTGAAAAGGAGGCAAAGGAGAAAGTTCAGCTGGGTCAGCGGAGGCCAGGCCCTGGCTCAGATATCTAGGTTCAGTTTTCAGTCTGCTGTGTGACCCTGAGTATGTGAGTCAACCTTTCTGTGCTTCCGGTTATAGGTTTGTGAAAGGTGGTCAATTACAGTTCCCATCTCATAAGGCTGTTACACAGATTAAACAAGTTAACATCTGTAAAGGCCACAGGACAGTATAAGTGATGACTATTGTAAATAAGTCTAGATTCCCTGACTTTGATAGAAACTCCTAGAAAACACTAGTTTAAATGAAGACGAGGCTTACCGCCTTCTTGCATAAGTAAAATATAAAGGAGCCAGTCCAGGGGACACCAGACTTTTCTATCTTGCTGCTCTATCTTATTGCCCCATCTTCCTGAGCATGTTGCCTCATGGATCAGAATGGTTGCTCCTGTTCCAGCCATCATGTGCATATTCCAGCCAGAAGGAGACAAGAGGAAAACAAATTGTGTTTCTCTCTTCAAGGACATTTCCTGGAAATTGCACATGACACAGGCACTTCCTTTTTTGGCCAGAACTTGATCACATGATCATGCATAGTTACAGGTTACTATGGAACCAGCTAAAACTTGTGAAGAAGAGGAAAACTGATTTGGGGGGAAATCTTGGAGTTCTACTATGCAAAAGTTTAGACATATTCAAGCATTCATCCCCTTGCTCAGGTCTTGGGATAGAAACAGGATTTTCCTGGCACTCCCAGCCTCTCTGAGATTACAGTTCCTCATTACATTAAGCAGGCCTCTCTCCTCCCTGCCCTTCCTCACTCTCCTCCTGACCCTGGCCTTTCTCTTAGCGTTTCTCCTCCCATAATCAGGCCCAGGAAGGGCAGCTCCAACCTGCCAAAGCCTTGATCTCTAATGAACAGGGGCAGTGAGAGCAGAAGGCAGCTGCGGTCAGTGTCCCAAGCCATCTGCTCAACTCAACAGGCTTGAAATCTGGCCCTGGATGAAAGAGAAAGAGGAGACAGAAAGGGTGCACTTAAATTATTTTGCTTTGTAAGAAAATACTAAAAAAAAAAAAATTAACTGAAAATAAAGTAGCAGTCCTTTCATTCTAAACCCAGAGCTAATCATCATTAATATTTTGTATGTATCTTAAAGTTTTGACCTATTTGAAAATTTCCCCCTTAATTAAAATTTAGGCTCACATCTTCCTCCTGTTTTATAAGCACTGTTTAAAATTCAGCAACAGTAAAATACTCCTCCCATGGTGATGGATACATTTTCTTAACATCATTTTTAGTGGACACTTTGTATGTCCCCCTGACAGAAGGGACACCCACATGGCCTAGTGGGGTGCGCTAAAACTTGGTTTTGACTTTGCTTCTATTTAGAACATGCTTGTCATCTTTATCTTCAGCCTTGATCTTTAAAACAGAGATAGCAAGTTCAGACTTCAGTGTCATTTCTAGGGTCCCAGAACTGGAACATGACTCACAGTGTAAATAGCCTTTGCAGCCAAGAAGCTTGATGACCTTCATGACACACTCTTGACATATCACCCAATTTACTGTTAAAAATTTCTTTCAAATAACAATATCCTTCTAGACATGATTTGTAACTAATATTTTCCCTTATTTTCTGTTTGTCAAATTTCTATCAAAGATTATCAAATACTATCAAAGACTATTAAAGATTAAATGATTATGACTGCAAAAGTAAAATGCTGTATCACTTATGATAATTATACACACTATTCTTTCAAAATACAGTAATGGTCATTGTGAGTTTTCAAGTGTTTAAATATAGAAAGAAACATTGATAGCTAATACAAATATTAAGAAAGCAGGTCAGTCAGATACTTTTAGAAGATATCTTTTGAGGTAACAATAAGACATTAAAATGCTAATTGAAACAGAATAATAAGGATTCCACAAATGGAATCTTTGTGGAATTATCTGGGATATTAGCATTTGCAACTCTAAACAAAATAATCATTTAAATGTGCATTGAAGTCTTAGTTACTCTTATTCTATTTAGGTCACAGAGTCTTTTAAGAACCCTATTTGTAATTCTGTACGCCTTAGGCCTTAAAAAGATAAGCTAAAAGCAAAATGTCAACCAACCTCCCAATTTCAAGAGGAAGAAAACCTTTAAATTATATGTAACAATATCCACGGTGAATCATATTTGACCCAATATGGGAAAGAGTATAAAGAATCTGAAGAAAGGAAGAAATTATTAGAAAAGTGAGGATCCACCCCTGCACCATTATCAGTCAAAAACAAGCATTGATTTATTAACAATAACATGTTGGCTCAGAATACAGGAGCAAGTTAGCTACCGCAAGCCAAGGAAAGTATTGTTTTTATGCTATAAACATTAAACATCAACAAGGAACTTCATTAACAATGAAACTGTCATCCCAAACAATCTCTGATGGAAGTGTCGATGCCCTCCTTTGTCAAAGGCATTTGTTCACGAAGGTGATGCTAGACCATGGTGTAGACTCGAGCAGGACGTCTCTGTTCCCGCTTGGGCCACCTGGCCTCCTGCCAAAATGTGTATTGAATACATCTCTAACTTTAGATTATTTCCAATTTCTCACTATTATTAGCAACATTGCAATGAATGTTCTAGCACAAACAACTCTATGAGGCTCTATGATTATTTCCTTGGCTGAATTCCTAGAAGAGAGGGGCTGGGTCAGAAGACTCCCTAACTGCCAAACTCTCCCCCAGAAAGTTTGTCCCCACTTCCCTCCCAGAAGTGTGGTGGGGGGTTGGGGGGCGTGTGAGGGCTTGTACTCTAGTTCCTCGCCTGGTAGAGCACCTGCCTTTCGGCCTCCCCCAGTGATGGCAGTCAGAGGCTCGAGAGCAGCATCCGTGCCCTAGCGGATCCCATGATTCATGGTGGGGGCCAGAATGCATTTTGTTCACCTTATTTCTGTCATTGCTGTAGAGCCCATTGGTCCTGGCATTTTAGCCCTCTGAAGGAAACCGCACCAGTGTCTGACAGCACCAGGAGCAAGCCAAGACTGTCGAGTCCTCTACCACAGAAAGTCAGCAGCTGGCTGCCTGGGGGAGGCAGGAGGGATGGACCCAGGTCAGGGACTTCAAGCACATTATTCCACATCACTCTCAGCCTGCCCGGGGAGGGTGTCCACATCGTACAGGAGAGAAGCGGGAGGTGTAGGAAATGTTCATGACCTCACAGAGAGTAAGTAGTAGAGGATTCAAACAATCCAGGGTGGAATCACATACTTCGGTCCAGACAAAGGATGCTCAAGAAAAATGCCCAATACATTTCTCAAACGTCTTTAAGAGCCTACAGACTCAAGAAAGAAACAAGGAGACTTCAGAAAGCCCACCTCCCAGGAACAGAAACACTGGGAACCTGAGGCCTTGGGGCTAAGAATACATTGCCCCTGACCCTACGCATAACTTCAGGGGTGCTGCAGCCAGTTCCCAGAATCACAAAGACCTGGATTCCATCTGACTCATCACTTTCCCACTATGTGACCTTGAACAACTTAGTTAACCTCTTTGAGCCTCAAGATAAGCCATAAAATGTGGCTAGAGTAATTCTTCATCAGTGGTTGTGAGCATTGAGTGAGATCACACTCCAGCCCCTTTCTGCCTCAGAAACCAGCCCCGGTCTCATGATTTCCATTATGCGGGGCGATGCCCCAGGCGGAGTCTTCAAACATGTGGTCACACCTGCCTAGACCGAGCTTCTGCCAGCTGACTGCCTTGGTTTCTTCCTTCGGGCCTCACACAGCTGTCCTCTTCTCTAGGAAAGATTTTCATGCTCCCAAGTCCAGCTGACATAGTCCTTGGGCTACCACAACATGCCGAGTTTTAATGTCCTGTTTGTCCTTCCTTGAACTGTGAGCTCAGGAAGGGCAGAGACTGGGCTCCGCCCATCTTGTACCCACAGTGCTCAGCACGGAACTTGGTCCAGAGCAAAGGCTTGGACATGTGCAGAGTAGGAAGAAAGGTGAATGGACTCTCAGGGTCCTGGGTGGGAAATCCATGAGAGACTGACCTTTGCAGACCCTCTGTGTCAGGGACTCCAGGCAAGAAAGTGGGAAGGACTTGAGTTGCCTCTGAGGCATGGACCCCGCTTTTTTTCATTCTCATAGGGAAGAAGAGATGCAATAGCACTTCCTAGACAGTCTAGGCACGGTTGTTCATGTCTGCACTTTACAGTTCCAGAGGGGCATCATTTTCACACTAGAGTCATCGCAGATTTGTATGGCCAATGTGAGACTTTCCCAGTAGATGGCAGTAAAGCATCTTAAGACAAGGGCATTGTGCCATCTGTACCAATGTGCTGTTTGGATACCTGCAGTGTATCATGTATCTGTCAACAGGCCTCTGAGATGCTCAGAGGTTACTGGACACCCTTTCCCAGCCTTATCTCACTTTCTCTTTACTTCAGGGCTTCAGTACTATTCCCAGAGTCTCAGCAGGGCAGTGAGCTACTGAGCCAGAGAGCCCCAAGTGCATCCTCTGTTCAAAGGTGGTATTTGTGATCTGAAGCCCTTGTGTTCAAGTCCCAGCTTTTATGCTTCTTTTCTTTTCAAGGTTTTATTCAGTTATTTATGCACATAAGAACTGGGGTCCAGGCCCGAGGTGTGTGGGGGTGGTGGTGAGAGGATTCCCTAGAGACAGAGTAGGGAGCAGACCTGGCAGGTGTACTGAGATACACTTCTGAGGGGAGCAGCAGGCAGGACAGAAGAGGTCTGCTGTGCCATGTGGGTCAGCTCCCTGGCCGGGGATCGAACTCAGGCCATAGTGGTGATCGTGCTGAGACTTAACCCCTAGGCCATCAGGGAGGCCCTCCTTAGTGAGTGGTCATGGGCAAGACATTGCAGTTCTGGAACCTACCTTTTTTTTTTTTGGAAAGAGTGCAACCCTTGCCCTTAGGGTTGGGAGGAGCAAACACTTCCCTGAACATGACCCTAACTCTCTAGCTATAAAACATCTCTGCCCAGAAGGACCCTGTGTTAATAAAATGCAGGAGCTGCCCAGGTGAACTGGGTAGAATATGCTGCTCTACTGGGGGCGGAGGGTGCTGCAGACCCAGTGACTGCAGCTTTGTCACCCCTTCCCCGGCCCCCAGTGCTATATCCTCGGGGATCTCTTTCTTTGTCTCCACCACACTGCACCTCCCCTGGTGCTTTGTTTAGTCTCTGCTGCAAATGCCTCAGTACAGGACAGTCAACAAGTATTTAATGAGCATCTACTATGTTCTGGATGCTGTACTGAGCTTTATCCTCCAGTTGCTTATAGCCCTCGGACAATAAAGTTAGCACAGTCTTCTTGGCTTAGACTCAGCCCATTCCTCTGGGACCCCAAGCAGAAAGAGGCCATGCCTAGTTTTTCTATTTCTGGTTCTTAGGTCACTCGATAACCAGATACTGTCTTTGGTTCATATAACTCTACACACCTCTAAGGATGCATCTAAGAGAAACTGAGTGGGGTCTTCTTGCCCTTCTTATATTGGGGAAAGCTCAGCTGAGGGAAGCAGAGAAGAAACTCAGCACAGGTTTCATTTAGAATTTGGTTTGGCTGTGAAAAGACAAGAAGCCCACAGTGTGGTGGTTTGAATAAGGTCGACATAGACGGTGCTCTCATATCACTGAAGCCCAGAGACAGGCAGGCCAGACGTAACATGGCGTTGTACAGTGTTAAGAAGGACCAAAGCCCTTTCAGTACCTAACCTAGCACTCGGGTATGATCCTTACCCTCAGGGGGAAGGACTCTGGGCTGGCAGAGTCCTCCCCTGCATCGGAACTCAGGCTCCGACCATGTACTTTCCCCACCATTCAATAGTATGCTGCTTCCACATCACGCTCCAAAGTCATTGCTCAAGCTCCAGCCCTCAAGTCGTGTTTCCCAGCAGGAAGTAGGAAAGAAGACATGCCGTTTCCACCCAAGGACACTACCTGGAAATCACTCATGCCACTGAGCCGTCGGAAAAGTGATGATGTATTT